CAGCCAGCCCTACTTGTTTAACAGCTTCACCTTCCTAGGTGTGACTCCTAGTTGTACAAATGAAGTGAGAGAGAAAAGGCAAGGCTTCTGAAAAGAAGGTTTAAGTGAAGTTGCTAGTATAAAGAGGGTCTCATGCAGTTTAAGAAATCTGAAAACATCTGTACAGTCAATCTCCCTCTGGAAAGTTTGAAGTAGGTTGAGTAGTCTTTGGCATACTATACCTGTTGCCCTCAATGGTTCCAAGCTTTTAATTGTCATCACTCTCTCTGCAGTAAGGCCTGCCTATAAACTGAAGTGCTGCCAATACTTCAAAATCATTTGCTTTACTTCACCCAATCAAAACTTCAATTTCTTTAAAAAAATCTTAATTGATACATAATTGTACATTTTTATGGGGTACAATTCAGTGTTTTGATACATGTATACATTGTATAATGATCAAATCAGGGCAGTGAGCATATCCATCACCTTATGAATTTATTATTTCTTTGTGGTGAGAACATTCAAAAGCCTCTCTTCTAGCTATTTTATAGCACACAATTACCTTACTGTTAACCATAGTCACCCTACTGTGCAATAGAACACCAGAACTCATTCCTCCTATCTAATTGTAACTTTGTACCTGTTGCCAACTTCTCCATCATTCTCCACCCCTCCCCAGCCTCTGGTAACCACTGTTTTACTCTCTGCTTCTATGAGATCAACATTTTTTTTAGGTTCTGCAAATAAGTGAGATCATGTAGTATTTTCCTTTCTATGTCTGCTCATTTCACTTAATGACATCCTCCAGGATCATCTATCTTGTCTCAAATGACAGGATATCATTATTTTTATGGCTGTATAGTATTCCATTGTGTAGATATACCATATTTTCTTTAGCCATTCATCTGTTATTGGGCATTTAGGCTGATTTCAAGTCTTGGCTATTGTGAATAGTGCTGCAGTAAACATGGAAGTGCAAATATCTGTTTTGTACTGATTTTGTTTCCTTTGGAAATACACCCAGTAGTGGGGCTTCTGGATCATATGGCAGTTCTATTTTTAATATTTTCAGGGACGTCTGTACTGTTTTTCATAGTGGCTGTATTATATTCCCATCAGCAGTGTGTCACCATTTCCCCTTTTTGCCACATCCTTGCCAACACTTTTTTTTAATAATAGATATTCTAAATTAACAGAATGAAGAGACAACCTACATAATGGAGAAAATATTTGTAAACTCTACATCTAACAAGGGGTTAATATTCAGAATATATAAGAAAATTAAACAACTGCAAAAACCCTATTAAAAATTGGCAGAAGATCATTAACAGACATTTCTCAAAAGAAAGCATACAAATGGCCAACAGGTGTATGAAGAAATGCTCAACATCACTAATCATCAGGAAAATACAAATCAAAATCACAATGAGATACCATCTCATTCCAGTTAGGATGACTATTGTCAAAACTCTGATTTCTTTATTGAAGTTATTATTCATTTGTGCAAAATTATCTCATAGTT